TATTTTTTTAAAAGTAATTAATCCCAAAATTCTCTTGGTCCACGTTTTAAAGGAATCTGATGAGAGAATGTCTTTGAAATTTGTTGGCAAAATGAAAGCAATGGCCTCAGGGCTGTCAGCTGATTGGCAGGCCAGGGAGACCTACACGGTTCTCTGTCACGGGTTCACGGGTTTAAGATCACATGAGCGGCTCCTAAAGCAGACGTGTAGTTGAGAGCGCAAGGCGGTGGGGACCCTCAGGGTCTTTCTCTTTTCTTTCCATTTGTTTTTTAAAGAAAACATTTAGGAAGTGTTTATTTATAAAAGTTTAAGAACAAACAATTGTTAGAATCCCAGACCAGACAGCTTAAGTTAAGCCTAAATGTTGCCCTCTGTCCATCCTCATAGTTGATTCTGGGCTCCTCACTTTCTACACAAAGGCAGACGTGTCTCCGAAGGCCTCCTAGTGTGTCTGGATTCCAGGCAAACGGCAGGCGCCACTCTCCCTTCTCCAAGGAAGCTCAAACTGCAGGTTCCAGATTCTAAGGCATCAGCGAGCAAAGATGACGCATCTCCCTCCAGCTGTATGACAGCGACACTTCAGCCAGATGTGCACCCCTCCTCACCTCACCCACATTCTCAGTCTCCGTTTCCTTCCTCTCTCTGTTTCAGGGGTGGAGTCTGGACTGAGACAACTCCTAGGGGAGGGGGCTTGGGATGGAGCCTCCACCTGGAACATTCCCGACTCTTTGGGTATATGGATGCCAGAAGCTGTGGTGTTGCTTCCAACCAAACACTGTGCACGACCATACTCCCTAAAGTTTTGGAGAGAAAAGTAACTCCAAATGATGGCCGCTCTCCTGATAGCTCACCTTTCACAGTGACCTAGGTATAACACTTAATGAACTTAGGTCATTGTAAATGGGGTATTTATACAAGAATTTTTCATGTCAGTTGAAAAAAAAATTAGCACCTCTGGCTTGGAATTCGGGGTGCTGGGATTAAAGGAGTGTGCCAGCACATGCCTGTAAGTTGAAATTTAAAGTTATATCAAATTACATAACGCTGGACTAAAGTCTGAGAGAGGCCGACTCACTTCTTCTCTCCACCATTTTCCTTCTCATCTGCATTCTCTCTCCGTTTGCCTCTCCTGGGGGTCAAACTCAGTTCTGTATGCAGGGAAGACACTGAGCATTTGAGTCATTTCTAAGTCAAGTGAAAGTTCTGAGATACCAACAGCTAAATGTGAATTCAGGTCCCTGGGCTTGCTAAATTCTACACAAAGGACACACATAGCAATATGCACGACCAGTTTAAACAATTCTCTATGATCAAATATGTATTTACAGGAAACATTAGTGTATGTTTTAACATTGACGACTTTTATTTCCGCAAGCTTTGTCTCATCATATGCAGGGTGTGAGAAGAATCAAAATGGTTATTCTTTGGTTATGCACACTAGACAAACGGCGTAAGATGTGTCCTTTGGGTGAGAAGTAGACCAACATTGTCTACCTTGGAGGGTTTAAAGATAATATTATTTACAAGCTATAAACGTGAGGAGGGAATGATAGCAAGATGGAAAGACAGCCCCTGAAGAAGACCACAGCTGTGAGAGTGGATTTTAGGTCCGGAAAGTTAAACAGATCAATGGGGACATTTTTGGATGAGAAAGAATTCTGTGCGGCAGGATGATTTGTTTTTCTTTTTTACTGATTTATGGTCTGAGTTGAATAGCTGGATTGCCCCAGAAAGGGAGGAAAGAAACGGAGTAAAACTAAAGATGAAGCAGCATGCGGCGGGGCTGAGCAGGCGGCAGGTTTGGGAAGCGTGAAGGACATGAGAACAACCTGTGCTGGACACGCGTGTAGGATACATGTACTCTCACTGATCACGTCAGTACTGACACTCGTGCTCCATGCTGAACCTGCATGAATCTCTGGGGGAACTGAGCCCCCATTCCATGACTTGGCAGGTGAGGTCTGAAAGTTGCAGCGGGTTTCCGCTTGTTCCCACTTATCCCTGGACTTACCCCATTGCTCATCTCTAAGACCTGGTTCCTGCTACCAACCTGTATTCGCCGCTGCTCCTTACTGAATTTTGTGCCCATTTTATGACAAGCTTCCACAGATGCATGGATTCCCACAGGATCTTGCCAGACCCAGGACTTTGGAACGAGAGTCTTCACACACAGTCAGAGGAGCCGCACAATGGGCTCGGGAGAACCACTCCCTCTAAACTTCCTTGTTCACAGGTGCCTGAGATGTGGGCACAGTGAACACTGATTTCCCTGTTCATAGGACCAAATTACACCCAAATCCAGCCCTTCAGAGAAAGGGCTCCACCAACGGGGAAAAGGTGACAGCCACTCAAATAACAACCACTTCTGCCAAGTATTAACGACACAGCGAAGGACAAGAAGGTACTGGGGAGGGGCTTGCATGAGGGTGTTCTTGCAAGACTAATCTCACAAAAAAGACTCTGCCAACACAGCCTTGGGCAGTGGTCACCACAACCTCACACCAAAAATAACTTCTGGAAGGATGCCTGTTTAACCTTAGATTATTGATGCCCCCAAACCCAGTTGGAACTCTTTAGCCAAACATTACTTTCAAAATACTGTATGTGATCCTGAGGCTGCTCCCGATCACCTTTTTTGGCTGTACGAGGTAATATGGCTCGCACATTCTCATTCCAATAGTCTGTGACCTCTTCCCCCTTTTCTTGGGGCTGTGCTCTCTCCCCTAACTCAGCCCTCCTTGCACAGCCAGAGCAAATGCCCTGCGGCCTGAGCTACTCTCGCAGTCCCAAGGGAATCTCTGGGATTTGCTATTAGGTGGCGAAACCTCTAGCAGTCTGCCTCCTGGAAACAACTCTTATCTTTTTACCGAGGCACTTGCCTGAACAAGAGTCCGGTGGATATTACAACAGCAGCAATGCCCACCCCTTTATAAAAATAGAGCAAACAAATTGATAACAACTTCGTTGGGTAGAATATAACTTCTTTGTGATTTTATTTGTGTGTGTGTGTGTGTGGTGTGCATACGTGTGAGTGGGTGTGGGTGCGTGTGCAGAGAACATGTGGAGGTCAAAGACAACTTCTTTGCTTTCTCGTTCCCTGCTCTGTAGACCAGTTTAACTAGCCCTGTCTCCTATCTCTGCGGTCCATCTCCCCACAGTGGCGCTGGTATTACAGAAGCTTGTGTGGGATGCAGACTCGGGCGGCAAGACTTGCACAGCTACCCACGGAGTCATCTCCCCAGCCTCTGGACTGCTACTCTATCAACAGTTTGAAGCACACAGAATTCAGTCTTTGTTGAACGCTGATTGTGTCCCCATACACCAGGGACTTGTGGGCACAGGATCCGAGAAGCTGTTCTCCCGCCTCACTGGAATATAAGAAAGAACAGACTACCAACAGAACACTAAATTCTCCCAGCCTCTCCAGGAAAAGGGTATTTTAGGACAGGTCCCCAAAATCAGAGGATGAGAGACTTGTAAACGTCACCGAACTCAACTCCCTCAGATACAGAGGCGTCCTTACCAGGCAGTTTGCAGACTCTAAATGAACACATTTAAATATTGAGTCAGTTAAAACTAGAGAGTCCAGTCCAGTTAATTAGAAACCCTGAAAACTTGAGGTAGGCACTGAAACATTCTTCACTTAACTTCTCCCGAGAGAGATTCATAAGCCAACTGTGTGCCTAGAAAGCCAGTCCCTCTCAAACAAAGAAGGCACCACTTCTCTGAAATTGCTAAAGTCCACATTCAGGGTCCAGAGTAGCTCCGAGAGACTTAGATGTTAGCAAGCTGAAGCCGGGTCAAGAGAGGCTGCAGCAGGGATGAAGATTTCCCAAGAGGGAAACAGTAGAAATGCTGTAACATCATCCCGCTGGGGTGACATCGCTGATAGTCTGCAGACAGCCAGAGAAGAAATCGGGACCATTGTACCACTAACCCTGGCCAGGCACGTACTTCCACCGCTTTCATGCGGTCCTTTCTCCCTCCCTTTCGAGACAACCCCATGAGTTTCTGAATTAAATGTCTGAGCGCGGGTCCCCCGGGAAACATCAAGTGTGGGGAGGAGCAAGAGCAGGAGGGAAGATCATTACCTTTGCAGGTAGTGGATCAGAAACATGGCCAGCAGGACCCGGTTGGGCAGGTTGCTCAGGCGCGCGGCTGCAGGGCGGACGCACTCATACAGCGGCCAAACCATCGAGGGCAGCTCCTGCAGGAACCAGGCCGGTCGCGCCGGCACCTGGATGCCGGGATGCTGCCACGAGTAGCGGCCATAGGGAGAGCCCACATAACTGAGCAATACGAAGAACACAAAAGCCAAGACACCCTCTAGGTAGGCGAAGCAGTCCAGCAGGAGCAACTCGTCCAAGTCCATCGTTGAGGTCGAGCAGCGTGCTCCATGCCCGAGCGTCCAAATGGGGCCACATATAAGCACAGGAGGAGGGCGCAGAGCGGCCCACTCGAGTCCGCTCCGCAGCGGTGCGTACCTGCCCAGGGGAGGGGCGAGCTACCTGTCCGGGCGGGGACTGGACCACGAGCTAGCACCACCAAACAGTGCCCTCCCGCAGAGGTTGCAGGGGAGAGCCCGACGGCGCAGGGCCCCTCCTGCGCAGAGAGCTCCGCCTCTTCCCGCCTGCTACCCGGGAGAGATGCACGCCCGTTGGCCTAGAGCTCCTCTGGCAGGCAGCCCGGCGAGCAGGAAGGACGGGATCCCCGAGCGCCCTGCAGCCGGAGCTCCGCCCACTCCGGGCCACAGCCCCACCCCGAAGTCATGCTGCCCCAGCCATGGTCCCGCCCCTAGGCTCTGAGCCTCCAGCACCGGGGGGTTCTGCAACCCGAGCCACTCCCCTCACAATCTCCTTGACAGCGGCGGGGCTGCCCGCCTCTCTGCGCACGCGCCTTGCTGTGGGTCGTCCACGCAGGTGCCTGAGGCTCCGTGTCAGACGGGGTGATGCGTGCTCAGCGGCGTTGAGGGTTTCTGTGCGGAAGCATTTTCCCTGTAGGGTGGTCATGCTTTCTTCGCGTGCGTTTCCGGCACGATCGTGTTGTTTCTTACACAGGGCATATATCTTGACTTCCCCAGCTAGGACCCCCGCCGCTGAGGTCCTCGGGAATCAGCCGGAAGTACCGCGTGCGAGCTGGCTGTCCTGCTTGGTCGCGGTGTGCGATCCGCGTGTGCAGCCGCGTGGGCCATGGGGCGGCGGGCGAGGGGCCGGCGGCTGCAGCCGCAGGCTGAAGGCGCGGAGGACGACGCCGAGGGCGGCAGGAAGCGCGACCAGGCGGTAGGCACGGGGAAGGAGGGGCGCCCCGTGGGCTCTGGCTTGGTGACTTGCTGGTGGGCCGGGTTAGCAGGGATGGGGGATTCGCTCAGCCCTTGCTGTCCTGCCAGGGCTGGGAAGGTGGCTATCCCGAGATCATCAAGGAGAACAAGCTCTTCGAGCACTACTATCAGGAACTCAAGATCGTGCCCGAGGGAGAGTGGGACCAATTCATGGACGCACTCCGCGAGCCCCTCCCGGCCACGCTGAGAATCACTGGTTACAAAAGGTAAGTCTGATGTGTTTTTGCTGGGGTTGTGGACTTGGAAGCTCTGGGGCGGGAGATCGGGTGGGTGCAGGGGAGCAGCCTGGGTTGCTTAGGTTTTGCGGGTGGAAGGTCAGATTATGGCGAGAAAACTCAACCCGAGAACGTTCCTGTGGGGGGTGGGTGGACTGATGGGTTCAACTGAGGAGCATGGAAAATTTGTGGCATCCAGTTTGCCTCTTTCTCCCCGCCCGTCATTGTACATCATTCCTGAGACTTGTCATAAATAGAATTGAAGCTGGGCAAGAGTGCAGCATTGCATTGGACTTATTTTTAAGGTGTATCCAGCCTGTGTTCCAACGCGACACAGTAGAACCAGAGGAGTTCTGGATTTAGTAAATTGGTTTTGTTGCTTTGCAAGGTGAATTCTTTTTAAAGTGGTAAAAATTTAATTGGTTAAAAACAAGTGTGGGGGTAGGGTGGGGTTAGGGTCAGCATCACTTCTAGGAGCCAAGAACTGAACCCGTGGGAGAGGTACCCCAGATGCCCCCTGTACGTATTCCACCATGCCTTCAAGATGCTGAGCAGAGTCCTCTGCCCGGCACCAGGTCAGCTCCTAGCCAGTGCTGGCAGTTCAGAGATCTGCAGGGCATGGAGTCTCCATCTGTACCTGCTCCAGAGGCACCTCCAGATGAGAGCCACCTGAGGGGCACGCTGCCTCGGGAGCCCAGGAGAGGGGTTCAGAGAAGGGGTCTTTAGAAGGACCATCCGTGGAGTCAGCATCGGAGGCACAATGGGAGCAAGAAAGCCGCAGCTCTACGCAGCCAGGGAGAAGGCTCAGGACACAGGCCCGGCTTGCAGAAGCAATTCCCTGAAGCAGGAGGGATAGTTAAACTGGAGATTGTCAGACTGGAGACCATCGTAGCCGTCCAGCCTTAGGACCAGTTGCTCTATGGAGCCAGTCCAGAAATGCTGTACTAATTTCCAGAGCATTAAATCTGTCCCCCAGTAAAACATCACAGAATATTTCCGCCACATCGTAGGAAGACAGGTCAAACTCAAGGGAAAAGGGGGGAACCCTGGGAGAATTCTATCTGCTACAAGTTGATGGTCATAGAGGTGCCAAGCCTGAGTTGATTGAAATGGAAACAGGCCAGGAGTGGATGGCAGGCTTGGGACCATCCCACATTTTTGGTTCTCATCCTCATAGAAACCAGGTCTTACACAGAAGAGATGCTGTGGGGGTGGGCCCAGAGGAGGAGCAGCCATAGTGAGGACAAAGTGAATTCTTAAAAATTAACAATGTCGGGCCGGAGAGATGGCTCAGTGGTTAAGAGCCAGGTTCATTTCCCAGCACCCTTATGATGGCTCACAACTGTCTATAACTCCAGTTCCAGGGAATCTTGACATCTTCCTACCAAATGCACATAAAATACAGTTAAATAAATATTTGTAAAAAATTAACAGCCCTGGATGATTAAGGAACGCTTCAGAGTTGGTTTCAGTTGAAAGGTATTTTTAGTCTTAGTTATTGCATTTTTATCAACTCACTTTTTGTAGTCACTGTGAAAATTGCCTACTTTTTTTTTTTAATAGCCATGCAAAAGAGATTCTCCATTGCTTGAAGAACAGATATTTTAAGGAGTTGGAGGATCTAGAGGTGGATGGGCAGAAAGTTGAAGTTCCACAGCCACTAAGCTGGTAGGTACAGAATCCTCCCTCATGTTGGGCGTTTCTTAGATTTCTATTCTATTTATTGTATTTATTTTATGTTTTTGTCCCTCATGTTGGGCGTTTCTTAGATCTCTATTCTATTTATTGTATTTATTTTATGTTTTGTCCCTTGGATGCATTTCTCAGCTCTGTCACCGCTGTTGGCGTAAAGAGCCTGGGTGAACTTTTCAAGCATCTCACGTTGTTTTCCCTGATGCTTTTTCCAGCCTCAGACTGGTGTGCACATGTTCATAAAGGACTTGCCATTCGTGTTTCGCACACGGTTCAGTCCTTTGGTCTTTGATGATCCTGAGTGGCTTTTCTCACTTCTGTTCTCAACCCCGAGTTTCCCACACCAGAATTTCAGCGTAGTTGCTTTCCCTTCAGAAAGGGAGACCAGACTCGGCCTGGCAAAGCCTCACCCCTGGCTGGTGTGGCTTATGGCCCAGTGTTTTCCAGCACAGCTTCCGGGCAGAGTCAGTCTTCCACTGTGTCAGGCAGCCAAGCACTTCCGTGGTGTGGCTTTCATGACCTGTGATCCCCGAAGCCTAAGGCATAGGGTGCCTCCTGCCATACCTCAAGTGCTGCAGCCCAGCCCAGAGGCTCCATACCTGCGTGAACAGACTCAACAGATGTTTTCAACTGTGGTTTCAGGTTTCAGATTTGGGGATCGAGTTTTCACAAAAAGAAAAGTATTTTTTAAGTCATTGCTAGATGAATTTAGTTAAGTCTTTTCTGGTAACTTTGTAGGTTTTGGCTATTTTGTGCTTTTTATTTTGAAATGGGGTCTCATTGTGTAGCCCTGGCTGGTCTGGGAGTTGCTATGTAGACCAGTCTAGCCTTGGAATCACAGAGGTTGAACGCCCTGACTCCCTTCTGTTGGAATTAAAAGCCTGTGCCTCCGTGTCTGCCGTTTGATTATTTATAAATTGGTGTTGTTATCTTTTAGTTTTAGGCAATCAACACAAAAGATTAGGGTTTTGTTAATCATGACAGATAGCTGGCCTCTCCTCACTGGCCATTTGGATTTGTGGTCGGTCTCCTTAGCATAGTTAGGCACAACATGCCATTGAAATGAGTACTGGGTATCAGACACTAGAATCAGGGTTCAGCGATGAGCCAAGGCTATCATCACTGCTGCAGAGTACAGAGACCTGAAGCCTGTGTCGCTGCCCACCCCCAGTTATGCATTTCTCTTAGATTTTAGTAGTTTAGAAGGTAATATACAGGAGAATGACTTGCATGTTTGTTGTTGTTGTGAGTCCATGAGAAAGGAAGACACTGTCAGTTGTTCTGGTCGTTGACTGGTTAACGGGTGGCGGCTTCTCGACATGTAACCACCCTGGTAACTCCCCAGCGGGCTGACCTCTCCTTGAGCCTTGGTTGGAGACTGGTGGTCATGGTGCCTGTGCATTGCCTGATGGGGAGGCATCTGGCGTCTTGGTTTCCCGAGGAGTTGTTGCTTTACATCACCCGGAGACATTTGTCCTGTAACCCTTGTACAGTGATTAAGCAGGAAGGCCTTGCAGATGAGCACACATCTATGAGACATGCTGTTGTTGTCATTCTGTTCTCCATTTCCCCACAAACTCCATGGAACAGACTCTTGCTTTGAATAGCACTTGAAAACCTAACTCCGGCTAATGCCATAGCTGCTTTCCCGTGTCCTTTTCTAGAGTTGGGCGTCCAGCAGAGCCTTTCAAAGCCTTTGGAGAAGGGAGAGGAAGGAAAGTGACTCTTTCTCTGTCAACGGCTGGCAAGGCTATGCTGTGCTTAGTTTTCTGAGCACAGCCGGAGTATGATAAAAGATTAACTGCGTAATCAATAGCTTTTCCCATTATCAGCGACAGTTACTTAATCAGGTGTGCATGTCAGTGCTGGACACTGGGAAGACTCCAGCAGTCAGACAGCAGCTTTTCGGGACTTGTGGTTTTCTCTGCTCAAAATGCAGCCAGCCATAGGATCTTCTCTCGCCTTTGGCCACAGTGGGGCATAGTGTAAAAAGATAGCAGTGCTGCTTCTGTCTTCCGAGAAACCTCAGATGGGCTTTAAAATTCTTTAAGACATTCATTAAACAAAAAAACCCCAAACATGTCAATAGATTTTTCTTTGGGTTGCCAGCTCACAAAAATGACATGGAGACTTATTAATCATGAAAGCTTGGCTCACTGCTTAGTCCTGTTCCACCAGCTCTTATACTTTAGCCCATTTCTGTTCATCTTCATGTTGCTAAGTGACTTGTGGCTTTTATCTCTCCTCCTGCACTTCTGCTGGCGACTCCACCTTACTTCTCCCCAAAGCTCTCTGTCCACAGAAATCCTGCCTAACCTCTTTTTCTTCCTAGCTATTGGCCATTCAACTCTTTATTGAGCTGTTCAGAAGGCATTTTGGCAAAGACACGTCTTCAGAGTGTACAAAAAGATTATTTCACCTCAAATACACAAGTTCATGAGTATTCGGTCTTAAAAGCACATGACTTAAAATATTTGCCATTGCTGGTGAGGTGGCCTAGCCTTTGGACCTGCACTTGGAATGCAGGGGTAGGCATAGAAATTATGTATATATGTATTTGCTGGCCGTTCTAAAGATGTGTGATCAGTTTGGTTTTTTTATTCATTTTCACTTAAGCATTTAGCCATTTGGAAGTTGTAAAATATTTTAATTGTGAGTTCACTAGCTGTCATGCTCACTACAGGAGAACTTGAAGCTTAGTAATCGTCTACCTTAGCTGTCGGTACTAGAAACTGACCCATTAAGAACATAGAGGCTATTTATTGCTCAGACTATGTGTAGGTTGCTCCCCATGCTTGAAATGAAAATTCAGTTCTTTCTAGTAAGTCCCAGAGGTATATGGTGTTCACACTGATGCTCTGGTGACTTGGTAATTTGTACAGTTTTACTGTCATTGGTCACAGACAAGTTTGGGGTTGCCAGAAGTTACATCAAATTTGGCATATTGCTACTCTGTTTCAGGTGACAGAATGGCCCAGCAGATTCCTCAGATACAGCACTAGGAGCCAAAATTGGGAGTGTCTGTATTACTGCCTTCAGTAAACCAGAATGAATGCCTTATTTTTTTTTTAACTGCCTGATAAATCGAACACAACTTCAAAGTGTACTGTCTTGAATGGAGGATACTGTGTGTAAAGTCCAGTCAGTTCCATTTCTGTAATTCAGTAGACAGAATTATCACAGTATCTCAAAACGTGGCTGTTGAGTAGGGTCTTACGATGCTCAATGCTTGTTAGCTCTCTGTACCACTCCCAAGTTTCAAATTCGTCAGCTGTGTCTGTTTTCCAGTCAGCCTGAACTCATTGTCCTGGCTGCTGCCGTGGCTACAGATGGACACACAGAACCTTTGTGAGCATTGTTGTTAACGGAGCTCATTGTCTGCTCCCGGCGAACAGTCCACAGTGACACTCGCATTGATCACTGTCTCACCTGCCGAGTGTGACGTTGGGCTAATGAGGCATGACGAGCCTTGTGCTGTGGGTCACATCAGAGACCTCAGACCAGGTGTGGACACCTTTCCCAGTCCTGACCTCCTGAGGATAGAATGTGCATAGGTGACAAGGGCAAGAGGCTGCGTTGGTAACCCTGGTCCAGGAGGTAAAGATGAGCACAGCGGTGGTTTCCTTGTGGAACTCTGTGTAGAAATAGAAAATAGTTGAAGACAATCATGATCAGATATTTGTCAAGTATTTGCATATCTGCTACACGTGCCTTATTATGTGAAAACGGTGAGTTTCTTATCTTCCATCTCCTCTCATGTAGGTACCCTGAGGAACTTGCCTGGCACACAAATTTAAGTCGGAAAATCTTGAGAAAGTCCCCACTGTTGGCAAAGTTTCATCAGTTCCTGGTTAGCGAGACCGAGTGTGTAAGTTGGTTCTATGGGTGAGCTTGGCCTGAAAGCACCTAGTGCTGCATCGCCGAGCATCCACTGCAGAGGGGTGTGGTCGGGTCACTATAGTTGTACTTTCTTGGTATTGATGAGTCTGCCTTACTGTCTCCTCGCTGACATGGCTTAGGAGTTGGACGGGTGCAGGACGAGGCAGTCACTCATGGTACTTCTGTTTAGTGTAACTCCTTTTTCTTCCATTTGCCTGTCGTCCAACAAAGTCCGAGATTTTAAGACTGCTTAGTGGACTATGGAATTTATCTCGTTTACTTTTTTTTTTTTTTTTTTTTGGTTTTTCGAGACAGGGTTTCTCTGTGGTTTTGGAGCCTGTCCTGGAACTAGCTCTTGTAGACCAGGCTGGTCTCGAACTCACAGAGATCCGCCTGCCTCTGCCTCCCGAGTGCTGGGATTAAAGGCGTGCGCCACCACCGCCCGGCCTATCTCGTTTACTTTTAATGGCATCGTTAATTGACACTTTATCCTATTGTATCTTCCCATGTATTTTTCCCTTTATTTGACATTTACCAATGAAAACAAATGCTTGTAGCTGTGGGTCTCATAGGTGCTGTCCTCCTGGGTTGTAGCAGGTGTAGCTCTGGATTATTGCCTGATGGCCACTTTCTTTCCTATACTTCCAGCTGCTTGCTGCTCTGTAGATAGGAGGTTGCCCTTGAGGACGCTCACCCAAACAAACCTAAGCTCAAGAGATGTGGTACCAGCCTCCAGGACTGTACTCACATTCCAGCCTTGGTGCTACTGGGACATTCGTACATCTTTAGATAGCAAGCGACTATCCATTAATTTGGAAATACCTCCTCACTGAATAGTTTGTGTGATACTAGAGGTTTTCCTGTTCTGGGAGGGTTACGGGACCTTTTCCTTTATACATGCCTGATTTGAAGTACTGTTTTCTTATTGTTCTGGTTTTCTCCCCAAGGGAAACATCAGCCGGCAGGAGGCCGTCAGCATGATCCCCCCACTGCTGCTCAATGTTGAGCCCCATCATAAGGTAGTGTACCAGACAGAAGAGGGGAGGGGAGGAGGTATGGACAGTGTGTCCACTCCGCTGAAGCCTCTCAGCACTGCTAGCCTTTTCCTCCTGCGTTTGTTTGATAATGCTGTGTATTTTAAGGTTTTGTTTTGTGGTTTTGTCTTCTTTCTTAGAGTACACATAGCTACACAGAAATTGCTTCACTCTTAAAGGTTTTTTTTGTTTTTAACTTAGCAAATTATCTATACAGGTATAACCTGTGGTCTTTTTGGCTAAGTCACGTTGACTCCATGGAGCTCATTAGTTCTGAGCATCATCGCATAGTTTTTAAGTAAATTGTAGTCTTGACTTTGTCCCCACAACCCTCTGGGAACAATGAGGAAAAGGCAGAAGGGAAGGGAGTGGGTCCTGCTGTGGAGCTGATATTCGGTGTCTTGCCGGGGCGACTCCTGTTCCTGGTTTCTGAGTCTGTGGCTCCCAGCGTCATTCTGTCCTGTCCTTCTGCAGCCCGTGTCTCTGTCGCTGTGTGACTTCTGCTTTTATGAGCAGAGAACATTCTCTCTGTCGTGTTGAATGAAATGAAGTCAGCATATTAGAATGACTCACAAGATGGCTTAAGATCAGATGTAGAGTCTTCCAGCTTTTAAAAAGTTGTGTGTTCTTGTTTGTTTTTGTAGATCTTAGACATGTGTGCAGCCCCTGGATCGAAGACCACACAGTTAATCGAAATGTTGCATGCAGACATGAGTGTCCCCTTTCCAGGTAATCACTGGGGCCAGGGAAGCTGTTCAGTGAGTTGAGGGCGACTAAAGTCCTCCCTGCTTCCCGGGCAGTGGAGTGGCCTGTGACTATCGTGAAGGTAGCGCTGTGTCGGTGTGTTCTCAAACCAGCATGCTCAACTCTGAGAGCCTTTCTGTATGAGCTGCCTGTACTCGGACATGGCATGTATACATGAGCTTGGGTAGCAGCTTCCCTGCTCTGTTCAGTTTCTGCCTTAGGTAAGGAGCGTGGCAGGTTATTCTGGGTAGTTGCTGTTAGCCCCTCCATTCAGATCCCTTCGCCTTTCAGCAGTGGCTGTGGCAGCACTGGGTGCTATATTTGAAGTGGGGGGGGGGGATAGGCAGTGGTGCGGGGAGGTGGCAGCCATTTTTGCAGTGAGCCAGTGTCTCCTGAGCAAGGGCGCAGCATGCCTAGTGTTGGCCAGGCTTTCAGCGCTGCCCAGCCCTAGTTCTGTTTCAGTTGCATACCTAACTAACAGTGTAGGCGGTTTCTCTCCCTTTGCTTGTCTTCTTTTTAACCCTCATCTTATTGATAGCTGTCTGTTTTTAGCTCTTTCTGTGCCGTCAGTGAAGGGCCTTACTTAGCTGGCAGGAGCAATTTCTCTCTGTTCAGATGTTTTGTCCTTGCATTGGGAAGAACGGTCCTGGCTGTAAATGGTGTTAAGCTTCTTTTGTCTTTTGCTGAAGTGTGGGAGGAACCAGAAATGAGCAGGGGTACTACTTGGGAAACTTCCCAGGGGTGGTTCTGAGCTTGGGACGTCAGCACCATGTAGCAGGGCCAGCTGATGGGCTCAGGTGACAGGACCCCGCCTCTCCAGAGCAGAGCTTGCATGTGCAGGGACTTGTGTGCCCTTCTCTCTCCGTCGCCCTCGTAATTCGTAATCCTAGAGAAGACCCGAGCACAACAGCTATAAACAGCTGCTAACAAATGAGACGTTCGGGTGCAGCTCTTTCTCCCTTTTCTAGAAAGCCTGGGTCTTATGTTTCGCAGAACGTTCCTTCTCACCTGCCGACCAGAGGTTGTGGTTGTGTGTTTCAGGGAATGCTTCTCCTGCGCATCCCATCTGACTACAATTTTATGTTCCTAGAGGGATTTGTTATCGCAAATGATGTGGACAACAAGCGCTGCTATCTGCTCGTTCACCAGGCCAAAAGGCTGAGCAGTCCCTGCATCATGGTGGTAAACCATGATGCCTCCAGCATCCCTAGACTCACGGTAGATGTGGACGGAAGGAAAGAGATTCTCTTCTATGATCGAATTTTATGTGATGTTCCTTGCAGGTATTTATATTATTATGAGGCCAGAAAGCCCACAGTCTGTCAGGAAGTCCAATCACATGTGGATTAGGTGAACTGAAGTAGCATGTAGACGGTGGTGCACATGGTCACTGTGGCCAGGAGTCTGGGAAGGGCGTTAGGTTGCTGGGGTGGAGCAGCGTGATGACCAGCGCCAGACGAGAGAGGACATCCTTGAAGAATTGGAGTTTGACATGCATGCACACACACACCAGGATGAATTTCAAGATATCTCTGGATCCATTTGCATCCCAAGTATTCTCTTGGAGTGTGTATATAAAAAAAATGTTGGGGTTTTTTATTGAAGTTTGTTACTTAGTTAAGTGAAAGAAATTGAAACCTTTGTGAAACTCATTTTCTCTGTTTGTTGATAATTCAAAATTAATGTCAGAAGTGACTTATCAGAGTCTTAGGAAACCTCTTTGGGGAAACGTTATTTTCTTAAACATTTACTGCTCGTAGTAGCACTTAGTAGAAACTGTAGCTGGTAATGCCAAGTGTGGCTGAGTTAAAACGCATGGTGAGTGCGTGTGAAAGCATGGACGGTGAGCAAAACCAGCCTTCTGTGTGCAGCATCCTAAGTCAAATACATGGACTTTCTTATCTCCTTGGTTACGGTATTTAACTTTGAAGGACCTCTGTTCCACCCATGTGGATTTATATATGGTATTAAAATCAAAAGAAAAACCATTTTTTTTATATTCTGAAAATAAGTTAGTCTTACAAACACTTGGTTATAGGCTGACGAAATTCCTGAAATTATGGTAGGGTTTCTACGATAGGAGCCCTTGCATCCAACCAGGATGAGGATGTGTTCCGGGTCTTTCCTCCTGAAGCTGTGCAAAGTTGTAAGCTAGGACAGAAACGGACCCTGGTAGATGAACTAGGGTGATGGGACCTGTCCTGTAAAATACACGTGCAGTTAATAGCAAATCAATGCAGAAAGTTGGTAATTGTATTCAGTCGGCTTGATTGAATTTACTGTGGCACAGCCTTTGCAAGTGTAAGTCTAGTTTTAAAATATCATTCTTTATTAATCAGTTTTCTGAGGAGCATTTTTGTAAGGGCCTGTGTTACAGGTTAGTGTGGCTGGTACAGGCTAAACATGCCCTAGTTTGAATATTTAGAGAGCTTCAGAAGCCGAAGCACTTTGAGTCCTTGTCAGATCTGCAAGTGAGCAGCTGCACCTGAACTCACAGCCAGAGCAGTGCATGCTCAGGTGACCCATAATCATCCTCAGGCTGTGTGTGTAAGGTGTGTGCAAAACCAGTGCATTCGTGTCTAGGATTGGTTCTCCTCATGCACTTCCAAAGACATCCAGAATTTATTTTCTCCAGAGCACTGGGAATAAGGAATCCTTCTCCCGTGGAGGGAGGCTCTTCAGAGTCGAATGAGGGTCTCTGCTCCTGTGTTTCCATTTGGAACTGAGTGTTGGTGTCGTGCTCTGAGACCTGCAGTAGACAGGCACTGTCTCTGTGAGCATGGAGGTGCTTTAGTCTGTTTTTAGACCTGCTTTGTGGTCCAGCCTTGGTCTGATGTGCTTGTTAAACATCTGCCCAGGCAGTGGCTCAGTTCTTAAATGTCTTCTTTCCAGTGGGGACGGCACGATGAGAAAAAACATTGATGTCTGGAAGAAGTGGACCACCTTAAACAGCCTGCAGCTCCACGGGTAAGTGAGCTGGTTAGACCCGGAGACGGGCAGACTACCAGTGTGCTGTTTCCCAACTGACTGTCTGCAGGTCGTTACTAGCTGCCTTGTGAGCGTATTTGCACACTACAGCTTGCTTTAAGGCAGTGGTTCTCAACCAACCCTTTGGAGGTCGGCTTTCAGTATCATGCATATCAGATATTTACATTATGATTTTTTTTTTTTTTTGATTTTCGAGACAGGGTTTCTCCGTAGCTTTTTGGTTCCTGTCCTGGAGCTAGCTCTTGTAGACCAGGCTGGCCTCGAACTCACAGAGATCCGCCTGCCTCTGCCTCCGGAGTGCTGGGATTAAAGGCCTGCGCCACCACCGCCCGGCTACATTACGATTCTTAACAGCATAATTATAAAGTAGCAGTAAAATAATTTTATGATTGAGGTCACCACATGAAAAACTATATTAAAAGGTGCAGCATTAGGAAGGTTGAGAACTTTTAAGTCCTTTAAGAGTAGTAACTGCTATTTTATTCTGCCTAGTTGTGTATATACTTATTGCCTTTTATGACCACCTCACCTCAGATCTGAAGCACGCATTTCCTCCCCTGTAACTGACCTTGGATCTCTCACAGTAGCATCTGCTAGTGCTTAGTGTATTGCCTTGTTTGTGTGGCATTCTTCCGTAGTTTTAATTTTACGTGTATGAACTTTTTGCCTGCATGTACATATGTACACATTGTGCACACCTGGTGCTGGTGGAGATCAGAGAAGGCATTAGCTCTTGAGACTGGAGTTTGGGATGGTCGGTAGTGAGCCACCATGTGGACGCTGGAAGCAATCCCAGGTCCTTCACAGCTCTTAACTGTTGAGCCATCTCTTCAGCGTACACACGGCATTTTCAGTGGCCTTTCTGTAGAGCTTGTTGTGATTTTTTTTCTTTTGACATGAAGCACATGCCCGTCAGTGTGCACTAGCAAAAAGCGACTGCAAAGATTTAATTGTTTATTAAATGCTACTGGTTTTGTAAATGGAGGAAAGGGTTTATGTTCTCTGTAGAAAAACCACATATCTGAATAAATTTGGAGGTTTTACGAAGAGGTTCTCCAAATACGTTGTACTTTTCTTGTTAAACTGTTGAGAAATGTGACAGCAGAACAAACTGTGCAAGTCGATTTCTTCTTTAGGAATGCACACTGGCCCCTAGAAGATCACACTGACTTCATTTGCAGTCTTGGAAAGTGTTTTGTTTGCTTTTATCCTGAAGTCTGTGTGTGGTGAGGTGGGTACGTACTCTCTGTGCCTCTGCCGTCTTGTGCTAACCTGCTGCTCTCCCTTAGCCTGCAGCTCCGGATAGCAACTCGGGGTGCTGAGCAGCTGGCAGAAGGCGGCAGGATGGTGTACTCCACGTGTTCCCTGAATCCTGTCGAGGATGAAGCCGTAATAGCGGCTCTGCTGGAAAAGAGTGATGGTGAGCATGTGTGCTGGTCTTTTGGGGACAGTGAGTGCACTGCTGGTGAATGGGTGCTAATCCCATGAACTGCAGCACGTGTGTTAGGGTGGACGTTACTGTGATGGGCTAATCCCATGAACTGCAGCACGTGTGTTAGGGTGGACGTTACTGTGATGGGCTAATCCCATGAACTGCAGCACGTGTGTTAGGGTGGACGTTACTGTGATGGGCTAATCCCATGAACTGCAGCACGTGTGTTAGGGTGGACGTTACTGTGATGGGCTAATCCCATGAACTGCAGCACGTGTGTTAGGGTGGACGTTACTGTGATGGGCTAATCCCATGAACTGCAGCACGTGTGTTAGGGCGGACGTTACTGTGATGGGCTAATCCCATGAACTGCAGCATGTGTATTAGGGCGGACATTACTGTGATGGGCTAATCCCATGAACTGCAGCACGTGTGTTAGGGTGGATGTTTATGTGCAGCTCTTAGCGTTCATTTTACTTCCTCAACCTGCAAAACCAAGTAAGCCGCTGTGTCCTCTTGCCACCATTCGGGGTTTTTTCCCCTCTGGACTTCTGGTTTTAGGGTTCGCATGTAGGTGGGTAATCTAGCTGTTCTCTCATGACGGCCTTGTTTGCCTCATGTAGGGTTTCATCCCACGTGTAAGCTGAGCAGTACCCAGCTGTCTGTGTGACCCCCTCCTCGTTCACTGCCTCATCAGTGGGTGGGGCTTGGGCTTCTGCTGTGAACATGGTGTGTTAAGAGTCCCTGGACAGCCTGCTCTCCATGCTTTGGGATGTGCATCTGCCGGGCATTGCTGAGCCCTCTGATAACTCTTGTTGTGATGAGGACTCACAGGGCTGCTCTTTGTACTGACAGACAGCATCTTTGTCCTCCCTGCACACAGGGTTCCAGTTGCGTCATGTCCTTGCCAGGCCTGGGATTGTTTTGTTAGTGTCCATCCCACTGATTTAAGGTCTTAGCACACTGAATTGCCCTGGGGCATCAGATGGGCAGTATTTTCAAACAGTATTCCAAAACAGCATTTTTCACAAGGCTTTTTCAGGTGCTTAAGTTTTAGCATTTTGCTGAAGTGTTAGCGTCCTCCATTAACTTAACCTGTATTGGAGTTTTCTAAAAGCAGAGAGTAGGTTTTCTCCACGTTTCAATATCCTCACAAACACGGAGGAAGTGTACTCACATCCTGAGGCGTGGCGCCCACACCTGTCATCCCTTGCCTTGGGTGTGTTGTAGCCCTGGCTGGTCTGGACTGTGCAGTTGGTCCTCAGCTGAGTCTTTAAATGAGATTTAATACATTGCATTTGTATTCTTACACATCAACCTTAGTAAAGATAGGATTTTGGAATAATTGTTTAAATAGTATTTAACCTCTAAAAGCGCTTGTGGAGAAGGAAATGAGGAATGACATATTCTCCGACCCTCTCCAACGTGTGCCGGGCGATGGTGGCGTGTGCACTCAGGAGGCAGAGGCTGTTTCTGTCACTGCTTAGTCACCAGGCTAAGCCAGGAATGGGGCCTGTGCTCACAACGTCAGGAATAGAGGGAGCAAAGGAACTGGGTTCGAGAGCAGTCTGAGCTGCACAGACATAAGCCCAGGGTGGGGATGTGGCTCCATGACAGCACACACAGCCCTGGGCTTTGATAGCAGTGAAGAAACAGTGTGCTCTGGAGGTGTGTGTAGGATTGAGGGATTCATCCTCTTTGGGGTGCCCTTTTGTTGATGTAAAAGCTGACTGGTTTCTTGGTGATGAGTTGTCTGACTAGAGTCGGTACTGAATGCAGCTGAGCTCACCCCGGACACAGGTGATGGAACTAACAGCCTCGCTTCTGTCCTCACGCTTGGCATTTGGTCCTAGTCACAGCTTTGAACAGGAAATGGAGCAACAGAAAGTGCTTGGGTTCTGGGTACGCAGGGAGTGTCAAGCATCAGAGTTGGTACAGTCCTTCGTTAAGCTCTGGCGGTGGCTCACAGGCATGGAGACTGCAAACGGGGTGGGCTGACTGCAGCTTATGGTGCCAGCTCCGCTTCTCTGCTCCTGGATGTGGCCCACTGACCCTGCTGGATGGAGAACCAGTGTCTGTGTTGCGTTTGCTTTGAAGGAGGGAGGCTCGTCGAGCAGACTGCTGTGAAAGCCCTGCTCCCTGCAAGGGTCCCTTTGGGTGGGGTCTTTGCTTCTCCAAGGAGCTCAGGTGTTGCTTTCACCAGTCCATGTGGTAGCAGGTTAGATGGGGACGGATGCACCCACTGTCCAGCCTCCTGTGGCGCCACTGTTGGAGACTGAGGAGCAGTGTGTGTTTAGTTTACACTTGCCCTGCTCTAAAGTGGGAAACTTTAGAGAATTTCCTGGGATAGAAAGCTTTGAAACATTCAACTCTGGGGTGTTAGACAAAAAAGCATGAAGACTCAGATCACCTGACCAGTGTGTGTATTGAGTTTTAATTTGCATTTTAAGAAAATAATGAAATGTCTTTTAGTGAAGTTACTGCACTGCGTCTGTCACCACCCCAGAGGGTTCTTTGTGGCCATTAGCATTCACTCCGTCCTACTCCAAGCCACTTTCTGCCAATGGACTTGCCTTCCCTGGACATTGTTAGAATGAAGCCACATTGTGTGGACTTTCCCGTTTCTTTGAATGGGCACAGTGTGGCAGCCTTTGGGGCTTTCCTTGGGTGTGTTTCTAGGTGCTCTCGAGCTTGCTGACGTATCTGCCGAGTTGCCAGGACTGAAGTGGATGCCTGGAGTCTCCGAGTGGAAGGTAATCTGCAACGAGGGCTTTAGTCAAAGATTTAAGAGCCATAAACATTGGAAAACATTCGTGTTTGGGTATTGTGAATCAATGCATCACCTGGTTGTATAGTATAGAATCCACTCACAGATTCTATTTAAAGACAAATACTGTATTACATGTGTTTTTCTGTTTTGTTCCTCATATAGAACCCGTCTTTACTCTCATGCCCATAGATTAAAGCCTTGTGCCTTTTTAAGTGTGTGTGGGGGTGGCAATTTAATCTTGCTTTTATAAAAAACAAAACAAAATGGTTCTTTGACCTTCCTGCTATGTCTGAGATTTTTTTCTGTTTAATAAATAAATAACCTGGTCTGGGGCTTTGATGCTGTTTGTCCTGGACTTTGAGGTGAAGGAATTTTGGTATTTTTAAAAGATGCTATGTAAGTTATTTGCTGTGCGTGTTTTAGCTTTACCTTTGGAAATAGTCTTTCTGTGCTATGTGTGCTCTCACAACTCCCCTGTGTACTTCACTGTAGTAATGCTGCTGGTCTCTGCAGGTCATGACTAGAGATGGGCAGTGGTTTGCAGGCTGGGATGAGGTTCCCCAGGGCAGGCACACACAAATTCGACCTACTATGTTCCCACCAAAAGACCTGGAGAAACTGCAAGCAATGCACCTAGAGCGATGGTAAGTTGGTGGCACTGTGGGCTTTGGAATGGGGAGATGATAAGCTCGGTTCCCATTGGATGCAACTGGCAATGTTTACAATGTTAGAACTGGTTAGAATCTCAGAGTTAATGCATGAGCTTTTCATTGTTAATCCATTAGTGTGGAGGAATTGTCCAGAGCAATGGCTTCATTATGATAACTTCATAAATGCATGCCGTGTTCCTTGATCATCACGGCCATCCCTTCATTCTTGTGTCTTCCCTTGTTCCCCTACACGAACTTTTCAAAGACAATGTGAGTGAGCTCTTCTGTAAGTGGGGCTGAGAGTTTGCGGTTAGGGAAGATCTGGTCATTTGCCTGACATTTTATTTATATATACTATTTTAGCCTTCGAATACTTCCGCATCATCAGAATACTGGAGGGTTCTTTGTAGCAGTATTGGTCAAAAAAGCATCAATGCCGTGGAATAAGCGTCAGCCAAAGGTAAGGGCTTTTAAATCCAAAACCAGCCAACAGGGCATTGGACTTCACCTCTGTTCCTGTAAGAGTTAGTTCATTTGAGATGCAGAGCAAAGTGGAGATTCGAGGGGTGAGGATGCTTGGAGAGGCTAAGCCTAAAGGAAGAATTCATCTGAATTTCAGATTTCTCCAGAAAACAGGTACTTCTCACAAAGAGATGGTGAGAAAGGCCATTTGGGTAGCACATTCTGTCTCCATCTTAAAGTTGAGCTACTCAGCAGCAGTTGAAAGGATGTGAGATTGAGGGTGGGCAGGACGAGGGGCTGTGAGTCCAGAGTCCTCTGACATTCATTCACAGGAGTCCGACACCATGGGGCTTCTTTCTGCCCCCTGTATGTGCTGGCCACGAGTGAGGAAATGTTATTCCCTCATGTTTGTTAGCCCAACCACTGTTTATAGCTCATAAACCAGACTTGTGTGGTTAGAGACTGTGGCCTGGAGTTGTGCAAACCTCTGTTTCTTCACATCATCTTGAATTAGGACTAACACTGCTCAGCTTTGCAAAAACAAAAGGAACTGTTTTCTCAATGATTGCAGTGTGCTTTGGCCACAGTTAAAAGGTGGCCCAGGGTAACTGTTTGAGATCCAGCTGTGAAGGCGGATCTTCTGGGTGTAGGCCAGGAAGGTCCTTACTTTGAGACTGTGGGCCTAACTCCGGGGGGGGGGGGGTCCCCAACCCCGTGGGAGTAAAGCTTCTGAGCTGTACTCTTTCCTGTTAGAGGTAGGATGCTGAGCTGTACTCTTTCCTGTTAGAGGTAGGACGCCAACCATGTCAGTCTTCTTTCTCCAGTGCTGTGCTTATCAAGAAGTAGAATTTCCTTGGCTGTTGCATTTTACTCGTGCCAGTGTGTTTAAAGGGTTGTTTCCAGGGAGTCAATTGAGGTGTGGTGTCAAGATGCCTCGTGTTTGCCTACAGTGTTTTAATAGTGGCATGCATTTAGTTAGCTATTTGAAGCTGGTGTTGAGACTGGAGTCCTCTCCTGGTCTGTCCTGTGCTCTGTACCTATGCTAGTGCTCTGAGCTGTAAGTGTGCTGTCGATTACCTACACTGAGGAGCCTGCCGGCCCCTTGCTACTTGTGCGGTATAAAGGGGGCTCCCCTTTGATGGGTTCTTGCCTTTCACAGTCCGTTGTTTTATTGCAGGGTTCCATGTTAGCATGTCTCTCTCACTGCTACTTTTCTGTGTCTCACTAAATTTGGGTGTGTAGCCTGCCCTCTGTGAGTGAGCAGTGTGCACTGCGGGGGTGCACTCCTCATGGGGTAGTTAGTGTATTACTAGTCAGTCATGGGGAGCAGACATGTGCTATGTCTTTAAAGAGAAGCTGTGGACAGTGGGCTATTTGAGACTGTTACTCTGACTTGGATTTGGTGACCTGGGGAAAATCCGGAACTTGCCTTCACTGAAGCATCCTAACTTGTAATCTGACTATGGAACTGAAAGATTGACTCTCACAGATCTTCTAACTGTAGGAAGGACACAGCGCTTTATAGATTGTGTGGTGTTGTTAGTGGTTGAGCCCCGGGCAGCGTGCACGTTGGACAAGTGTGCTAGAATCCCAAGAGCTTCCACATGTGACTGAAACCTTTAGTTTTACTCCAGCCAGCTTTGTGTCGTGGTTGCTGCAGTTCCTGGAAGAGTGCAGTCCCCACAGTCCTCTTGGTTAAGTTTCATCAGTTATGTGCCTGTGCCTTACCCAGAGCAGACACAAGAACAGCCTGTCTGTGCTGTCCTCTACCAAGGCCAGCCTGTGGGGCCACCAGAGAGTTGGCTCTGAGTGGACGGTGCCAGCACATTCCATTCGTAAGAGCAAGTTCTAAAAGGGATATGGTTTTAGAAGAAAATTTTGCTGTCTTCCAATGCCATAGAAAAATACAACTGGTTGATGTGAATTTGATAGTTTTAATTTTCTTGCAGTGGTGAAGTGTTACTGCTTTATTATGAAAATGAACTTGTTCCCTTCAACAGGTACAGAGTAAATCTTCAGAGCCCAGGAAGACCACAGCATCCAGTTCTGTGGGTGCCACAGAGAGGAATCCTGGAGACCGCTCTGAGCTGGACGATGACTCAGAAGTAACCCAGTGCACTGAGAACACAGAGAGTAATGAAAAGAAAGATGGCGTGTGTGGGTGAGGAGAACTATGCTGGGCGTGTAAGCCAAATGGGATCCCAGAGCCTTAGCTGTGGCCATTTCCAGGGAGTCGGGACAGCACAGCGTCTCTGTTAGGCTCTGTAGCTTGGAGAGTACCCACAGCTTGGCAGACAGTTGAGGCCCGAGTGCTGGCTGGGGCCAGTGGGTGCTCTGGAGTGGGCTCCTGCCGTGCTTGCTGACTGCCTTTCCGCCCCTCATTCCCTACTAGGCCTCCTCCTTCAAAGAAAATGAAATTGTTTGGATTTAAAGAAGATCCATTTGTCTTCATTCCTGAAGATGACCCTTTGTTCCCGCCTATTGAGTAAGGATCTTGACATTTGAATCCTGCTTTAGAAAGTTTGTTGTAGCAAAGCAAATACATTACCAGTCACATCCAACTGGTGTTTTGTAGTTAGATCCTCCCTCCTTACCGTGCCTGAGAGCTGGGCAGGACTGGAGAAGTACTAGCCTTACCAGCTGGGGGTGTCAGTTGGGACCCTGTGTAGGTTCTTCTCACCCAGTTGAGGAGCAGCGGCCAAGGTTCCCAGTCTGCTCTTACTTAGGAAATTGAGGAGAGTAGGTCCGGGTAGCATGGAATTACCCTGCATAGGGAACACAGAAAAGCGTGCATTGTAAAAATGGTAGTGTTTGGCCCAGTGTGGGAGTTTAGGCTCCAGCTTGTAAGCGCTGCTCTTAGAACAGCCACTGGCCTGGCTGTCCTGCAGGCACATCCTGCTTGTGCTTTGAGACGAGAGGCAGTCTGGAAGTTAGGTTCTCTTGGGTGCTGTGAGGTTCGTAGACAGTCGGCCGTGGGCTGTCCGTGTAAGCAGCTCCACTGTGTTGACAGGAAGTTTTATGCCTTGGACCCTTCATTCCCGAGGATGAATTTGTTGACACGAACTACAGAAGGGAAGAAGCGGCAGCTTTACATGGTCTCCAAGGAGCTGCGGAACGTGCTGCTGAACAACAGTGAGAAGATGAAGGTGGGGCTGGCGGAGCTGAGCAGGGCCTTGCATACCCACACTGCTTTCACTTGGGAAGAGTAGGTTCCACTGCCCACATTTTGTTTTCTCCCGAGACAGTTGTCCTTTGGTTTTCCAGCCTGGTGGCTGTGCCTCCTACAAAGTGAATGAACCGCCTTGTTCAGTCTGCTGGACTATCAAGGCAGTGACATAAAGAGCCTCTGTCTTGATGCATACTGAGATGTGTGCAACTTATTCTTGTGCTTAATTGTTGAACTTTAGGTGTTGTCATGAGCTGTGGACATAGAAGTGGTTGGAACTATGAGTTGATTCTTGTATACCAATTTCAGAAAGAGCTGCTTCTCTTTCCATCCCTTTCCAAAACTGCTCTCAGGCAGCCCTTACTCCACAGTGGAAGGGGCTGTAGTAAACAATTGTCCTTAGTTCCTGTTTCTTGTCATTTTTAAATTACAGGTCATTAACACTGGGATAAAAGTCTGGTGTCGAAATAACAGTGGTGAAGAGTTTGACTGTGCGTTCCGTTTGGCACAGGAGGTAATTGGAAATGGAAAGTCCTAGCCATGGTGCTGAGACAGCCGAGAGGCCTTACGTCATGCATGCCGCTGGACTTGAGTACTTGAAGGCTTGCTAGACAGCCGAAAGAGGCCTTACGGCATGCATGCTGCTGGACTTGAGTACTTGAAGGCTTGCCAGAGCTCACCAGGCCACCTGAACCATCCTTGAGTTCTTCCAGGGCCTTGACCCAGGGGAAGAACTTAGTCAAGCCCTGAGTCCTACAGGAAAGCCCTTCAGTAAATGTACCCATGGTATCCCAGTGCCCTTTCTCTACTCTTACAGGGGATATATACATTGTATCCATTTATTAATTCCAGTACCCATGGGATCCCAGTGCCCTTTCTCTACTCTTACAGGGAATATATACATTGTATCCATTTATTAATTCAAGAATCATCACTGTGTCCATGGAAGATGTGAAGACACTGTTGACCCAGGAGAACCCATTCTTCAGAAAACTCAGCAGTGAGGCCTACAGTCAAGTCAAGGACTTGGGTGAGTACAGGGATCTAGAGGCTGGCTAGTGTTAACTTCATGAGGTCTGTAGCAGGCGTTTCTACTTCTAGGGAACCTTTCTCAGTCACATGTACTAGTGTGGGCACTCCTCTGTATGGGTTCCACATCCTCAAATTCAACCAGTCATGGATTGAAAATATTTGAGAGAGAAAAAAGTCATGTCTGGCTGGGGATGTGCTCAGTTGACAGGGGTCTTCTATTAGCAAGCTCAGAGCCCCATAAACTGAGCCTGCCTGTTGTCCCAGCACTCAGGACATGAGTCAGGAAGATCAGATATTCAAGGTCATCCTGGGCTGCACAGCAAGTTATGAGTAAGAGTTGTGGTAGGACATTCACTCCGGAGGGAATTTGTGACTTACAGATAACATTGCAGAGGCTGTAAGTGGGCGGTGTGTAAACCCTTGCCATTTCATATGAAAGACTTGATCCTATTTTGAGGGTTCTTTTCCTTTGTCCCTGTGGAACCCGTACTGCTACTAGGCAGCACCCCGAGTTTATAAAGCACTTGGCCTGGCTTCTTGAGCCCCGTTTGGCTGCACCTTGCAGGATTATTGCCTGGGGTCCTGGTCATGAGGCCCACGTCTGTCTCTTCTACCAATCTTGTAGGCCTCTGGAGTTCAGGTTCCCCTGTTTTAGTTCCCTGAGACCCGTGGTCGTGGTTGCACTGTCCCCTTACATCTCCTAAGCGTCCATGTTAGGTTACTAGGTCACGGTGGTGACGTCTTCACCAGGTCCTTCTTTCCTTTGTTTGCATTCTTGTGACAAGTGTGTGTTGGTGTGTACAGACAGCTCACTCTGCAGCTGCGTGGTCCTGGGTTTGTTTGACCTTGTCCTGTCCTGTGTGAGCCACAGGCACGCAGAGTTCTGTAAGCTCTTATCTCCTACTCCATCTCCTCAGCAGAATCACAGTTCAAAGGAGAGATTATTTAAAACGAAGCAGGAACTTGATTTTTTTGTAATTCCATGAAGGTTTATTTTCTGTCTTTGGTTGGTGTGTGGACATGCCTGTGCCATGCTCTGCATGGAGAGGTCAGAAGACAACCTGTAGGAACAGCTTTCTTCCTCACGGGGTCTGGGAGCAGACTCCAGTCTTCAGGTTTAGACAGCAAGCTCTTTCTCCAGCTGAGCCATCTTGCTGGCCTTCATTCTTCTTTGAGGTGATGAGAGATAGGACATGGTAACTGAGATTATTTTGGGCTTGGTGTAGGAGTTGGAGCTTTATTATATTTAACCTTGAGTGTTGAGAATTGGCCAGTAGCTAGCTCTCAGTCTCCTGCCCCTGAAAGTTGTCATCCTCTTGAAAACAACACTGAGCTTTGGTTGTGGCCAGGAGTGAAAACCTTGGCACATGTGTCTGTTTTCTCTTTTCCTACAGCAAAGGGAAGTGTTGTGCTGAAGTACGAACCGGATTCTACGTAAGTGTGTATGCCTCACTATTGGATAAGTAGCCTGACATGGTAGCTCGTGGTATAACCCCAACACTTGAAAGCTAGGGCAGGAGGGTACCAGACTACAGCATTGGGGCCTGGCCTTTGGGGAGTTCCAGGCAGCAAAGCAGCAGAGGTAGGAAGATGCAGCTACCGGGTGGCAGGAGGTCGGGCAGTGGGTACGGCTTTTTTTTTTTTTTTTTTTTTTTTTTTTTAAGGTTGCATGCCAGTATCACTAATGTAGCTAACAGGATGCTCAATGCTTAACATGTAGCCTTCTTTGTTGACAGGAATCCAGATGCCCTCCAGTGCCCCATTGTGCTGTGTGGGTGGCGGGGAAAGGCTTCTATTCGAACTTTTGTGCCTAAGAATGAGCGGCTTCATTATCTCAGGATGATGGGTCTGGAGGTATTGGGAGAAAAGAAAAAAGATGGAGTCATTCTTAACAATGAGAGTTTAAATGAGAGTTTAGACAGCCCAGAGCAGCCCGAAAATGATGAGGGTGCCGAGCAGACAGCACAAGAGGCCAGCATCTCAGACAGCATCACTGGCTGTGACCCAGCTGCAGCTGAACCATCCCGGTGAAGACATCTCCACATGCTGAACTGGCTGTTAGACGAAATCCAGAACATCCTTAGCTGCGGAGTATATTGATAGGGCCTGTACGTGGGTGGGTGGTGGCAGTCTGGGGAGCTGTATTTTCTAGCATTTAGGAGTCGCTTCGGCAAATTGGATCCATGTTTCTGCTACTAAAGGCTAAAGCAAAATAGCCTTTGCAGAAGTTCAGGTCTCTTGTTGGGCCAATGTTGGCCTAGTCTTTTTAAAATTATTTATAGTAAAAACTACAACTCTTTGGGAAACAGCTCTTTGCTTTAATAATGTTTGGACTGCACATTGGTGCGCCGTGCGGTGATGCTGACACCTGAGGCCTCAGGTGACTTCTGTGCCTTTGCATTGAAGGGTGAAGTAAGCGATCCCAGAGTGAAAACTAGAGAATCATGGCGGCAGCTTTGGGGACAGTTCTGTGCTCACCCAGCAGGTGCTTTAAGTGGGGTTGCAATTACTTGGGTCATGAAATATGAGCTATTATGATAATAAAGAGCTATTAAGATTAAAAAAAAACCAACCGTATGACTTTGATTTGCTCTTAGTTGGCTAATTGAGGAGGAAAACCTTGCCTCAGGTGTAGGCCGGAAGCAGGGCTACTGCGGAGTTGTCGGCCCCTGTGTCCTGAGCAGCTTCCCCTTCAGTGAGATACTACAGACTGAACTAGGGACTGCCAGGTCCTTGGCCTGCTTCTGGCACAGAACCAACCTCATGCTGGTTGAGCCACTGCCGGTTTCGGCGTTTAAGAATGGCGAGGTAGAGCAGGGTGGAACTGTACTATGTCCCCTCCCCGGCAGTGCTCCGTCTGACTTCCCAGAGCAGCCTTCCCTGCCAGCCTCACGTTTAGAAGTGACTGCTAACCCCTTATTGCACACACATGCAGGGCAGACATGGCACCTGCTTATGTCTCTGTCTCGGCCTTTTCGACACTGCCCTGTCCGCAGCGTTTGCTCTCGCACAGATTGTCCGGGCAATGTTCTTGGAGTAGCGTTTTCTTTCCTGTAGATGTAATGTACTTGATCTCTACTGGTGAGCATCAGTTATAGTTTGGGGTCTTGCCTGCTGAACTGCCTCTGAGCCAAACAACACCTCTGGGAGTTCAGCTGCACCTGCTCACAGCTTGTGGCTGTTGACAGCCCCTGGGGAGGGTCACAGGCCCATCTCCTGAAGTCCAGCTACACCATACCACATGTTGTGACTCCACCTTGGAGAGGGGCTAGAAAATACAGGCTGAAGACAACTAGGGTAGAGGCTCCATCTAAGTGGCTGTGGGAAAGCCATCTGCTGGTCAAAGAATTGACACTGTCCTTTAGGGAGAGGGGCGCTCATGGCACTGTTAACAGCCCTCCCTCACCTGCTCTATAAGTAAGCCCTGTAAACTTGCTGGTTTCCCAGAATGAGCCTTGGTAGCATCATGGAGTTTTGGTGAAGCTTGTTGGAGTCTTAGGAGGGGTAGACTTTGCTTATATATTCCTTGCCCGGCAAGAGGAATTTTAGCAACAGTGGGGCACCTTAGGTCTTATTTTTGAGTATAACCTTGAGGAGACCACTAAGCCAAAACCACTGGAAAAACCTGAGTGCTAAATGGCATGGTGACCTTCTCAACCAGTGCCACCCAGGCTGCCTCCTACAGGTGTGGGTTAGTGGGATTGTGGGATGTTCCGACAGGCGGTGCAGCTGGGGCTCCTGTCCCTGTTGGTTTTCTGTCTCCTTATATGGTCTCAGCTTTGCTCATCCAAGTTCCCTGCCTGCTGTGCTTCCTCACTCAGATGTGGTTTTAAGGGGAGGTCTTTCAAGACTGTTTTTGAGTTCCAAGTTCCCTGCCTGCTGTGCTTCCTCACTCAGATGTGGTTTTAAGGGGAGGTCTTTTAAGACTGTTTTTGAGTCTTTTTCCTATCCCGCCAGCCAGTTCCCAAATGACACAAAGATTATTTATTTGTTACTAATTATAAAAGCTTGGCCTTAGCTTAGGCTTGTGCCACTAGCTCTTTTAACTTTGACCCATATATTTCTAATCTATGTTTTGTCGTGTGGTTCAGTGACCTCTGATGGGTACTGCATGTCTGACTAGAGTCCTGCTGGTGTCGCCTGTGTGCCTAGATTCAAACTTTCTGCCGTGTAGCGCCTGCACTACAGGACTGGAAATGAGCCAGGAACTAGGCTGGGGATTTAAAAACACACTGATAGAGACACAGGAACACGGGTCATCCTTGATACAAGAATGCCAACTTTATTGTGCTCCAGGGAAGCTTATATAGGGATCCTTAACTGATAGCCATAACCCACCCGAAACCACTCCCCTGCCATCAGGAACTCATGAGGGCTCGGCTCAGAGCAGCTGCAGGCATGTGAAAACAAGTTGTTCTGCTCCATTCACTCCAGCTGGCCAAGGGTCTGAGGCAGGCAAAGGAAGTCAAGGGGCCAGGGGTCCAGCCTGCTCCTCCTGCCTATTGGCTGTTCAGCTTTTTATTACACCAACCACAGCAATACATTTTCACACAGTGCACAAATATCCCATAACACGATTTGGTTTTGTTCTGTAGTTCAGGCATCCTGCACTTGAGAACCTCCTGCTTCAGCTTCCCAAGTTCTGGCTTATGCGCATCAATGGGTGCCTTCATCGAGAAAGCCTCTTAGAAGAAACTGCTCAAACCCTTGCCCCGAGTGCAGGCCAGCTGGCAATCCTGGGTGCCACACAGGTGTGGAGCCACTCGGGCTCATGCTTTTCCCTTGTGTCTCCGTGTAGTTGAAGTGGTTCCTGCCAGTGCTTACGGCGAAGAGTGCTTTCCTCTTAACGTCAGCAAGGTGAGGGGTGTGATTCCCAAAAAGTGATCTACGGAAGTAAAGACGTCTTCCTGAAGGGTCTCCTGGCCTTGCACAGAGCAGTTGTGTATTCTGTTTCCTGAGTGGTTGCTGAGACAGTGGAGCTGCTTCATATGCTAAGTGGAGCATATGTAAAGGAGCAAGAGGCAAAGAAAGACTCTGAACTAAACACTGACTTCTGGGGCTGGAGAGATGGCTCAGGAGCTCAGAGCACTTGCTGATCTTGCAAAGGACCTCAGTTCCCAGCACCTGTGTTGGATAGCTCAAAACTGCCTGTAACTCTAGCTCCAAGTCCTGTGAAGGCATAAGTCACAAACAATGCCACACCAGTTTGGAATTATGATTAATAGGGTGGTATTTATTTAAAGGGGGAAAAAACTTACAGATCACCATCAGCCCTCTGCACAACCAGGAAGGGAGTCTAGTCACCAGCGGAGCAGGAAGTGAAGAGAGAGAGGAGAGGGAAGTGGCCGCTTTTTTAAAGGGAAAGAGACCACGCCCCAATGGGCTGGTATCTCAGTGGCTATAGGCTGGAGGAGGGAGGACCTCCCCCAACACCTCCCCCTTTTGTTTAAATAAGAGAGTTCTAAACCTACTATGGAATTATATACAAAAAGTACAAATATCCTATTCTAACTAGCTTAGGTCTTGTATAATAAATAACTTGGCCAAGTCATGAGAGAAAGTAACTACATTTATATAGTCTTCAACCCCATCGAAGATCTGAGAAGGGAAATAATGTTACCTGGGTAATTAGGAAGTTCAGTAAAACAACTTCCAAAACATGCAACAGATCACAGAGACAACTAAGCTACCTGGGCAATCACGCAAAGTCACGTTAGCAGCGTTGAAGCAACCAACTTTGGCTAAGGCCTAACATAACTGACATACCATTTTCAAAGGCAAGCAACTTTTCAAAACTATCTTACCCTGTCTTGGCAGTATATGACAGTCCTGTTTTATCCATTGATGCACACTCTGTATCTTTGTCAGTGGTTGAGGTACGGGCATTTCTTTGCCCCAAGGCCAGTTCTGCCAAAAAGAAAGGCTCCAGGTGGAGTGTCTTTGGTGCTCAACATTCTCTCGGGAATAGAGTGGTGTTGCAAGGAGCAATTGTGTCTCACTACCACAAAACTCTGAGTTAGATTAAAGGCCATTTTCTACAGCTCTTTGAAGAAGTTGAAGATTATCTATCTATACTGAGTATAATCTCTATATATCTAAAGAACCTGATTAGTCTAATTATAAATGACAAACTTAGATGACTATTGGTCTATATAATTCTCAATATCTAACTTAAAGACTAAGACAATAAACAACTGTGAAACAAATGAGGACAATGACCTCCAAATATAGACAATGTACAAATATACACTGCAGTAGGTAAATATATATCAATACAAAAACATATAAGTATCTTAATCAGAGGTAGAAATGTACACTGCAATATGGTAAATATATACAATATATATCAATACAATATATGTCAATACATAAAAAATGTTTTAAACAGAGGTAGAAACATGCATGCATACAATAGTCAATATAATTTAACTTTGTGTCAATATACAAGAATCTATACCAATATATTTGTCTAAAAACAGTAACTCACAATTACAAATCTATTATCCCATCATCCTTCTTTTTTTTTTTCAAAATGATCCCTGAGCTTATAAAATTCCTCCCCCAACCCTCAGTCGTATACTAATTATAAGCAACCCCTAAATGATGTCCCTAAACCCAAGGGCAAACTTTACTGGGAGAGGGGACGTCGTCCTCTAGAATTACTTCCAGCTGTCATGGGGGCGACGTTCTTTCTGGGGGATCCTGTGAAAGTAAAATGATGGTTAAATTTCAAGATCAATGTCTTTTAAAATTGCCAATAGTCTCTGAGTATTTTGTGCAGGTCTGGCCAAAATGTTGTATAAGATGTGCACCATTTCAGCTAACCAAGTTGGAACTGTCTTGTGCAGCTGGTACCCAAAACAGGTCTTGTAGTAGAGATATCAGGATCATGACATCATATCAACCAGGTGGAGTTGTTATGGGGCCCCATCTTCTTCCTGGAAACTTCAAATGTCACTTCAGGAAAAACTCATTGTTCATTGTGAAAAACTTAAACATTAATCATATAGACATATATATGTATATATATATATTCAATGAAAGACATGATAGATATATTCAATGAAAAGTATGATAGATATGAAGAAAAGCAAAGATGTTTTCTAAACTCATATTTCTTTCTGTCCCACAACATGGCTCTTGACAAGAGACAGAAACTCCAGAAACTCTGGGTTTTTCTCTTACTAACAGGCTTGGAATTGGAGAGGGACTGAGCCAGAGTCCAACTTCAAAACCAGCTTTATAAATTTAGAAATATGGTTTAATATTACTTACACAACCCATTCAGTTTTCTTGATATTTCCTATTGGGCAGGTATTTTTCCATCTGTCAGTATCCAAACATCCAGGGTCCCTTGAATTTCTCAAAGATGAGTGTTTTCCTGTGGAGATAAGAACAGAATCCTGCCCCCATTCTATATGTTTTTCTTACCACCTGTATGAATATCATCATATTGGATGAGTTGTCATTTCTCCTTTCCAAGAGGTTTCTCCTCTTCAAATCGAAACTTTATTAATTTTGATGGTATCCACAATTTTTCTTCTCCTGTGGAAACAAGAACAAAACC